TCCCTGTGCTTTGGCTTTAGCTAAGCTTGTTCTAAGTAGGTGCTTTAGACCACTGAGCCATCTCACCAGCCCCTGTTTAATTATCTTAACAAATTTTTAAAATGTATTTAGTACAGGATCTACAGGGTCTCACTACACAGATTGGTCCTGTAGTGATCCTCCTATTTTCAGCCTTCCAAATGCTGGGATTACAGGTGCATGCCACCATGCCCAGTCTCAATCCCTGTCTCAGTGTGCCCTGAGGGCAGGGCCAGCATGGCATGCCGGGGATTGAACCCCGGTCCCTGCACCTGCCTAAGTAGGTGCTTTAGTCCACTGAGTTATCTGGCCAGCCCATCTTAACAATTTTTTGATGACCTATGAGAAAACCAAATTTGATGTCATGTTGGCCAGCTGGCAAACCAGGGAGAAACATGGTTTTTAAATCTACAGACATAATTAAATTATGAACAAGTGATCCAAAAATCAAAAAGAAAAAATGAATAAAGAAAAATTATACAGTGGAAATAAAAAAATAGCTCTTAATTTATTGGACAAGTGGACAAACAAACAAGTACACAGCTTAACAGATTGGACAAGCAAACAGATACACAGGCAGACTGACAAACAATTCACCTACAACACTAGAGTGCGCTCAGATATATTTTTGGCCAAATTAAATTATAATAACCTTTTATAATTTTATAAATTTATAATAATAAATAGACTAGTTAGAGTTATTTAAAGGTTGATTAGCTAAGATCTCTTATAAGAAGAATTTGGAAGGAATAAAATATATATATATGTGTGTGTGTGTGTGTGTGTGTGTGTTATTTTATCTTAAGAATACTAGCAACTTTCAGCTCAGTTATCTTTACATACTCTATCATATACTCAGACCTTTGCTCCCATTTTTTGTTACCTTTTTCTGGGCATTTTGGATCAGCTCTTTCACTTTGCCCCAGGTCAGGTCTAGCTCTATCTCTGTCTCCCGGCTGTGGAGCAGTCTCCAAGGCATCACTGTCCTACAAGTGAGCGTCTTCTTGAAAGGTGGAATCACCCCCTTCTCCAGGTCTGCGTCCATGGTACAGCTGGATAGCACCTTCTGGCACCCAGATAGGCCTTTCAGCATTCTCTGGAAAGACACAAGCAAAGCCTTGACCCCAAATTAGCACCAGGCTGGGTCCCTTCCATTGTCAAATATAAATATCTTTCCAAAGGATCCTGTCTACCTTTTTTATTTTACTTTATTTAATTGCCTTTTTATTGTCATAGTTTTATCCCTAGTAGGATTTAAAATTTAATAGTGTATACTGGGGCTGGAGAGATGGCTCAGTGGTCTAAAGCACCTACTTAGAACAAGCTTAGCAAAGCACAGGGACCGCGGTTCAATCCCCCAGCACCACATGCCAG